CTCACCAGGAAATAATGGTCCTTGTGGTGGGGGGTCACTTCCCCCGCTTATCCAGTCCAGGTGGAGGGGTGGCCGACGCTGCGGGAATCCGTAAGCGGGGACTTCCCTATGGGCTATCTGGGGACCCCGGGCTGGGCGCGAAGAGAGGACCGGCTAGGCGGCTCGGTGCTGCCCCCTGGAGGTTTCCTCTCCACTCTCAGCCACGGGCTCCGGCCGCGCGGGCTCTTCCGCCGCCTCCTCGCTCCCCCTCCCGGATGCGGCGCTGGGCGTGGAGCCAGGACGGGGGAGCCTTCGACGCAGTGAGCGCGAACTGAGCAGGCGCTGCAGCCCGGGCTCCCCCTGCAGTCCCTGGGGAGCCGCCACTGCCGAGGCGCCCGGACTCCGGGACAACATTCCTCACCCCAAGCCTGGCCAAGGCGAGGGGAGAAGGAAGCAGGGGGTGGGTTGGGGGGGGGGAGAACGATTGCCGCAGGTTTCCCGGGGGCCGGACGCGAACAGGGAAGCCCTCCCCGCCCCCAAGACGCAGTCAAATGCGCACCCCAAAGGGAACAGGGATTCCGGGAAGGGAAGGCTCCTCCTGCTCTAGCTCTGAATCCAGAGGAGGTGCTGTTTTTCTGGATTTAAAAAGAAAACAGAAAGTGTATGTGGGGAAGGAGGGTGCTTGACGACACCGAGAGGGAAGGGAGAAGGTGAGGGCCTAAGGGAGGAGGTGAGGGCCTCGGTGAACCCCAACAGCCTCTGGAGGTCGGGGTAAGGGGGTTTAAGTGGGGGAGGGTGTAACTCTTGGACTTCATCCCTCTGTAGCTGTCCCACCTCCAAACACGTTTTCTTATAAAAATCAACTTAAGGAATCCAGCAATGAACCAGGACCCCCTCGTCTCGGAGCCTGCCATCTCAAGTACGCTGGGGGGGTGGGGGGCTCACTCCCACTGTCTACAGAGTTGTCCGTTGGGGCAGGAGTGATGCACCTCTCAGAGGACTCCTGCCGCAAGGGCAGAAAGGCCAGGCTGTTGTAGCACAGATGGTCCTGTGTCTGAATGTTCATTTTGCCACTCCCTGGTAGGGTACCTTAGCCAAATTTATTTTTTTATGTTTTTATTCTTTCTGATACGGGGTCTCACGCTGGCACCCAGGTTGGAGTGCAGTGGCGCGAGCTCACTGCAACCTCCGCCTCCCAGGCTCAAGTGATTCTTCAGCCTCCTCATCTCAAGTAGCTTGGGCTACAGGTGCCTGCCACCATGCCTTTTTTTTTTTTTTTTTTTTGTATTTTCGTAGAGAGAGGATTTCACCATGTTGCCCAGGCTGGTCTTGAACTCCTGAGCTCAAGCTATTCACGCACTTCGGCCTCCCCAAGTGCTGGGATTCCAGGTGTGAGCTACAGCACCCAGCCAGCCAAGCTTTTTGTTTGTTTTTGTTTTTTGCTTTTTTTGAGGCAGTCTCCCTGTGTCACCCAGGCTGGAGTGCAATGGGGCGATTTTGGCTCACCACAACCTCCGCCTCCTGGGTTCAAGCTATTCTCCTGCCTTAGCCTCCCTAGTAGCTGGGACCACAGATGCACCCCACCACACCCGGCTAATTTTTGTATTTTTAGTAGAGATGAGGTTTCACCATGCTGGCCAGCCTGGTCTTGAACTCCTAACCTCAGGTGATCCACCCGCCTTGGCCTCCCAAAGTGCTGGGATTACAGGCGTGAGTCACTGTGCCTGGCCAGCCACGCTTTTTGTGTCTCACTTTCTTCAACTATAAAATGGAGCTAATGTTAATAATACACACATGGGGCCGGGCTAGTGCGACTCCGTCTCAAATAAATAAATAAATAATAGTAATAATACCCACATGGGGGCCGGGCGCCGCGGCTCACGCCTGTAATCCCAGCACTTTGGGAGGCCGAGGTGGGCGGATCACACAGTCAGGAGATCTAGACCATCCTGGCTAACACGGTGAAACCCCGTCTCTACTAAAAAAAAAAAAAAAAAATTAGGTGTGTGGCGCATGCCTGTAATCCCAGCTACTTGGGAGGCTGAGGCAGGAGAATTGCTTCAACCCAGGTTGCAGTGAGCCAAGATCGCACCATGGCACTCCAGCCTGGGCAACGAGAGTGAAACTCTGTCTCAAAAAAAACCACATGGGAGTATTGTAGTGAGGACTGAAATTTATGTGGGCTGCCATATGTCAAGTCCCAACGCACGGTACCTGCCTTGCAATTGGCATTTGACAAACAGTGGCTATTGTTCTTTTCAGGGGCTTTGGATCCATAGGGTCATCCACAGTTCACCCATCCTCAGCCTCCAAGAAAACTCCAGTGACCCTTTTCTGGAAAGCTGTGCAGATGGGGAAAAACATACCAATCCTATCACAGGGCACATAATCCCTAAGAGTTGATGTGAATCCTTCTTGCTGCAGTAGAATGTTGCCTAGAGCAGAAGTTTTCAACTTTGTGCAGCAGAATCGCCTGCGGAGGTCTGAAAAAGACAGGTGTTACCCTGGACCAACTGCGTCACAATCTTCCCGAGCTCGTGAGTGCCAGCACTGGGCCGAGGTATCAGCCTGGGATTCTTTTTTTTTTTTTTTTTTTTTTTTGAGACGGAGTCTCGCTCTGTCCACCAGGCTGGGGTGCAGTGGCCAGATCTCAGCTCACTGCAAGCTCCGCCTCCCGGGTTCCCGCCATTCTCCTGCCTCAGCCTCTCGAGTAGCTGGGACCACAGGCGCCGCCACCTCGCCCGGCTAATTTTTTGTGTTTTTAGTAGAGACGGGGTTTCGCCGTGTTAGCCAGGATGGTCTCGATCTCCTGACCTTGTGATCCGCCTGTCTCGGCCTCCCAAAGTGCTGGGATTACAGGCTTGAGCCACCGCTCCCGACCCAGCCTGGGATTCTTGTGCTGTCCCTGGAAAGCCACCTAGACTCGGAGAGAACATCCTCTGCCCCAGCCAGGGCAAACCAGTTCCCCGGTGATTCTCCTGTGCAGTTCACCTAAGGTATTTTCAGGTTCTTGCTGAAGCTTAGCACGGAAAATTCTCATAGTCTACGTCTGCATCTTTTGTTTCGCATGACCAACATCAATTCCCCTTTCTTTTTATTAATATTCCCCAGCCAGCAGTTTCCTTTAGGGAGCCACCCTAGTCCATGTGGTTGGGGACAGATAGCCCCCACCCTAGATCTATGAGTAGGTATGTTCCCTGGGCCTGGCCATCCACCCAGGCCCAGGAGTGGATCATTTCCCTAGCTGTAGTGATTGAGTCAGGATGGGCACATGACCCAAACCAGGCCAATGAGAATCACTTTTTCCAGAACTCTTGGGAAAGGGAAATTCCCTTTCTCTGATGGTACTAAGCCAATAGGATGTAAGCCTGGAGGCCGTCTCTCCCACAGGCCTGGAGAGCCTGCCTGAGAATGAAGCCAATGCAGGGGAAGTCAGAAGAGACAGACATACAGAAGAAACAGACATACAGAAGAAACAGACATACAGAAGAGACAGACAGACGGAAGGTCCCTGCACTCAGCCTGAGCTTTTTAGTTATGCAGGCCAATGAGTTCCTTCTTTATTGAATAAAATAAAACATCCTCAGTTAGTTTCTCTTACAACCTAACTGGTTGAACACCCATTATCAATAACAATAAAAACTTCCCTGAGGACTAACTGCAGTCAAGGTTTGGGAATAAGAACCATGGCATAGGCCTTTGCCTCTAAGGCGCTTACAGCTGGGTAGAAGGGAACCTGGATTCTATATTACAAGAGAATAAAGAATAGGAAGGAAGCAGCCCTGTTAGCCAGCAAAACTCGGTGATGTTAAGGGACATAGGAGATAAGAGGAGGGAGAGATTCCAGGGGGCTGGGAGACGGTCAGGGACATTGAAGAGGTTTTGGAGGAGAAGGAACAAGAGAAGGCCCAAACTTTGTGGTGGGGAAGTGAGAAACTGTTTCAGGCCAGGCTTGGGGGTGGGTTGGCCAGGAGCGCCTGTGTGTGGTCTGTCTGGGGAAAAAGAGGCTGGAAGGTGAGGAGATGGGCTGGAGTAGAGAGATTTCCTTTTGGGAAGTAGCAGAAGGTAAAGTTAAATAAAACATTCATTCTTTTAAAAAGGTTTATTGCCTACTGTGTGTATTGGATGCAGTGCTAACTCTTAGAGATTCTGCAGTGAGGCTTTGCTCTCATGGAAAATACCATTCAGTGGGATAGACAGAAATAAACAGTTATGCAAATAAAAAGGATAATTTCAGATCATGGTGAGTGTGGCTTATATACTAGGAAGGTGAGGGAAAGGCATATTGGAGGAGGTGGCATTTATGCAGTGATAAAAGATAAAAAAGAGGAGAGGAAACTGGCTCTGCACAGAGGGGTGTGGTGGGGAGAGCATTGCAGGCAGAGGGCCAGCCTTGCAAAGGCCTCAGAAGGGAAGGGAGTCCGGCTGTGATCTTTCTGGGGCCTCAGGTGAAGGTGTGGACAGCAAGAATTGTGCAGAGCCAAACGTAGCAGTCCACCCCCACTCTCCCTTGTCCTCACAGCTTATACAGGGGAGAAGGTGGCCCTTCCCAACCCTGCCCAGCCCCTGTGGTGTGAGCCCCTGGAAGGCAGCTTCCACCTGGGAATGGTAGGAGGAACTGAGCTCAGAATCCTGTGTGCTGGCCGGGCGCGGTGGCTCAAGCCTGTAATCCCAGCACTTTGGGAGGCCGAGGCGGGTGGATCACAAGGTCAGGAGATCGAGACTATCCTGGCTAACATGGTGAAACCCCGTCTCTACTAAAAATACAAAAAACTAGCCGGGCGTGGTAGCGGGCGCCTGTAGTCCCAGCTACTTGGGAGGCTGAGGCGGGAGAATGGCGTGAACCCGGGGGGCGGAGCTTGCAGTGAGCCGAGATCGCGCCACTGCACTCCAGCCTGGGAGACACTCTCAAAAAAAAAAAAAAAAAAAAAAAAAGAATCCTGTGTGCTGCCCAGGCCTTAGCCCATCACGAACAGGGCTGAAAGTTACCTCCCTAGATAGGGTTATGCTGCTGACCTGGCTTCTCAGCCACAAGGCTGGGGCATCTGAGTCACCTCACTCCCCTCTGGTCTATCTTTTGGCCAGTGGCACACTTCTGTTTGCTGTGACTGGGGGGACAGAAAAGGGAGGAGACGGTGAAAAAATTGTCCCCTCCCGTGGAGCCAAATCTCACTTGGGGCTAGTGAGCGCCCCACTTATGACCAACAGCCCAGATGAAACAACCGGCCTGGGGCCTGCAGGAAACCGTGTTGGAATCCAGGTAAGGAAGGCCCCGAGTCACTCTGTACCCTGGTCTAGGGGCCTACTGGGCCTCAAGGGTGCTTAGGAATGACCTGGGGCTCTCAGACCTTGCTGGTCAAGTGACTGATACCAGAAGCCAGGGGAAAGGTGAGAGGCCCTCAGCTGATATCTGCACTTAGACCTGTCTTTGCAAACAGGAGAGGAGGAGGAGGCAGAGGGGAGAGAGAACTGAGCTTGCCCAAGGCTGCTGGGGCTCCAGGAGAAAGCCAGTGGAACCATCCCATCTCCAACACCTGACCCAGGGCTGAGCCGGCTGCAGCTCTCAGAGGAAAACAAGCCCCTTTTTCCATTGCTGCTTCCTCCTCCCCAGCCCTGGGCTACGTCAGCACCCACTGGGCTGTTCAGGCCGTGGTTTGCACGTGGCCAGCCCGGGGCTCAGGAAGTGACTCTCTTGGGGTTTGTCTGGGGCACCTGTCACACTTTCCGACCGACTTTCCAACCGAAGGCTGATGGGCCTTGAATGGGTCTGGGGCAGTTCTGCTCCTACCCCAGGGAGGGCTTTGAGGGGTGAGAAGAAACCTGAGGAGGCCAGGCATGAGATGGGACTGAAGGTGCCCTGAGGGGTCTGGTGAGAGGGGGTGGCGTGAGGAAGACAAGGGAGAGAGAGGGAGGATCATCCTGGAGTGCTGAAGTGTGAGCCATCTTATCTACTCCTTCAGGATGCCAGAGGACAGTGCTAGGTGAAGGGCCATGCAGTGTGATGCTGAGGTCTGAGGCACAGGGCGTCTGAAGAGGGTGCCTGGCATGCTCTGGACAGGATCCAGGGGCTGCAGGGAAGAGATCACAGAGGATTGAGCCCCTGGTGATGGGGGTCGGGGGGGTCCTGCCTGGGAGAGTTGGGGTCTGGGCTGCTATCCCCAGAGGCTGCCTGGGGAGCGACGCACCAGGCAGAGTCAGGTTAGGCCTAAAATGGAAGATCTTGGGGCATCAGCACTTGGGAGGGGCACAGTCTGTCCTCAGGGGTGGGAGTCTATAAAGGGAAGAGGGAGTGGGTGGAAGTGGGTCTTCTCTACCCTGCAGTGCCCTGCAGATGCAGAACGAGGCTGCTGCCCTTGGACATCCGTCCCTCTGCCCTGTGCTGGCCAGTCCCTCTCCCAGGGCTGAGGCTGGCAGGACCCTGGGCTCAGAGGACAATCCAGCCTCTGGTGGTTTCTTTGCTCCCCCTACCCCCAGCTGAGTGTGCAGTAAAGCCAGCCGGCTGCAGAAATCTCTGGAAGCTCGTTGGGCAGGAGAGGGAGGGGGGCATTACATAAGAGCCCACTGATGTGCAGGAAGTTGAGAGCAGCCTTTAGATTAGAAAGGCAGCGTTTCCACCCAGCCCAGAAAGGCAGGAATAGCAACGGCGGTTATTTCTGGCCCCTCACCACCGCCCAGCGCCGGGGCTGCTCAGCTTCTTGGTGGGTGAGCTTGGGTTCTGCAGGCCTTGGTGTCAGGGATGGGGAGGGAGGGAGCAGGCAGCCCCTGGGGTCACCCACTCTGGCACCGGCTTCACCCCCAACTTCCACTCCAGCAAACACCAGGGTGCAGGAAAAACAGCAATAATAATATCTGTGCTGCTTGTTGCCTCTGATTTTCCTCAGTCTCTGGATACATTCTCCATCCCCGCCCTCACCCCGTACACGTTAACCATGTGACGGGCTCTGTGCTAAACACTTGACGGGCATTTGTCCTCACAGTGCCTTACGAGGCAGATGCCTCCTCACCCCCATCTCACTGATGAGGAAACGTACTCAGAGAGGGCAGGTGATTTGCTCCAGGCCACAGAGCTGCCCACTAGTAGAGCCAGGATTCCAATCCAGACAGCCTGGCTTCAGAGCCCTCCGGCTGAACCCCAGCTCCTACCAAGAACTCTTCTCTGGGACCCCAGAATGAATCAGATGAAACTTTCACTTTCACCCTGCAGGGTTCTTCAGTCAAATCGGGTAGGGGAGACAGACATAGGAGCAGGTCACTTAAATTCATCCATTCAACAAGTATTTATCAAACATCATTTCTGCTCTAGGCATTAAAGATACAGAATGGTGAGGAGGGTCCCCCTCTTTGGCAGCTCGTAGCCCAGTGGGGGAGACAGATGTTAAGAAGCACTTGGAGCAGTGTGACACACACTGTCATGGGGGAAGCACAGTGAATGCGGGGGCCCTGATCCAGCCCTCACCCCCTGAAGTGCTTCCCAGGCAGTCAGAGAGCCAACATCCCATTTAAAAAATCATCTCAGGAGGCTGTGAGGGGCATGGGGAGGGCAGATGATGAGACCGGCAGGCACCCATGCAATGGTCCAGGAGAGAGGATGGGGTCTTGATGCATCAGCACCAGCTATCACAGGGGCCCCTGCAGGGGCCTCCTAGGCAGAGACAGAAAGACAGCCAGAAAAGCTGACAACCACACTGACTGACAAGCTGCCCAGCCCAAAGAAGCATCCATCTCCCTGGGTACAGTGGCAGTAGGGTGGTTGGGAGGCTGATGGAAGGGCCCTGTCATTTTTCCTTCCTCCAACCATCTTCCTATCAACTCCCTCCATATGGGAACCCTGTTTTAAGGCAAAGTCAACATGCGTGAGTGAGAAGGAAGATGGCGCCCAGCACAGGAGAGAGAGCTTCCATCCACGATCACACTGACAACCAGCCATAAGGGCGGGAGGTTCTGCCTCTGTCCCTAGGAACATCCTCAGAAAAGTCTCAGCTGTACTCCTGGCAGAGGCAGCACTTCTCTTCCTAAAAGCAGGCACAGGGAGGGATCTGGAGCTTACAGGATCCAGTTTCCCTCTGGTCCAGTTGCAGAGAGGGCCATCATGGCAGGACACAGCAGTATTTTTTTTTTTTTTTTTTTTTTTTTTTTTTTTGAGACAGAGCCTTACTCTGTTGCCTAGGCTGGAATGCAGTGATCTTGGCTCACTGCAAGCTCCGCTTCCTGGGTTCACGCCATTCTCCTGCCTCAGCCTCCCGAGTACCTGGGACTACAGGCGCCTGCTACCACGCCCGGCTAATGTTTTGTATTTTTAGTAGAGAGGGAGTTTCACCATATTAGCCAGGATGGTCTCAATCTCCTGACCTTGTGATCCGCCCACCTCGGCCTCCCAAAGTGCTGGGATTATAGGTGTGAGCCACCGTGCCTGGCCAACATAACAGTATCTTAAAGCTGACGTTGGACTCAGTGTTTTAAAATTTTAATAATAATAATAATTATTATTATTATTTTTGAGTTGGAGTTTCGCTCTTGTTGCTCAGGCTGGAGTGCAACCGCACGATCTCGGCTCACTGCAACCTCTGCTTCCCAGGTTCAAACGATTCTCCTGCCTCAGCCTCCCAAGTAGCTGGGATTACAGGCATGTGCCACCATGCCCAGCTAATTTTGTATTTTTGGTAGAGATGGGGTTTCTCCGTGTTGGTCAGGCTGGTCTCGAACTCCTGACCTCAGGTGATCCACCCGCCTTGGCCTTCCAAAGTATTGGGATTACAGGCATGAGCCACGGCGCCTGGCCTAAAATTTTAATAATTAACGTTTATTTTCTATTGTAAAATACACAAAAATTTACAATTTGAACCATTTTAAGTGTACAATTCAGTGGCATTAAGTACATTCACACTGTTGTACAACTATCACCACTGTCCTTTTCAGAACTTTCTCATCATCCCAAACAGAAACTCTGCACCCTTTAAATAACTCCCTGTTCCCTCCTCCCCACAATCCCTGCTTTTTTTTTTTTTTTGAGATGGAGTCTCTCACTCACTCTGTCACCCAGGCTGGAGTGCAGTGGCATGATCTCTGCTCACTTCAATCTCTGCCTCCCAGGCTCAAGCGATTCTCCTGCCTCAGCCTCCCGAGTAGCTGGGTCTACAGGTGTGCACCACAATGCCCAGCTAATTTTGGTATTTTTAGTAGAGATGGGGTTTTGCCGTGTTGGCCAGGCTGGTCTCAAACTCCTGGCCTCAAGTGATCTGCCTGCCTTGGTCTCCCAAGGTGCTGGGATTAAAGGTATGAGCTATCAAGCCCGGCTGCCTGCTAATCTCTATTACAGTTCCTGTCTCTATGGATTTCACTATTCTAGGTATTCATGTAAGCATAATCATACAATATTTGTCCTTTTGTGTCTGGCTTATTTCACCTGCCATAATGTTTTCAGGGCTTATCCATGTTGTAGCATGTGTCAAAATCCCATTCCTTCTTAAGGCTGTCTAATGTTCCATTGCACGTATATACCACATTTTGTTTATCCACTTACCGACTGATGAACAGAGGGTTGTTCACCTCTTGGTGACTGGGAATAATGCTGCTGTGAACATTGATGTGGAAGTATCTGTTTGTGGACTCAGAGTTCTAATTCATCATAACCTGTAGCTCTCACAGGGGGAATCAAAGTCAGACTTAAGAAGGACCTCATGATTTCTACTACCAGTGATCAAAGTAGCAGCATCTCCCTCTCTGGGTAGCTTTAATATTCAGAGACTCCCCTGCTCCCCCTAGTCACACCCTCTCCAGATGGAGATAATGCCGGGAATGGTTGCCCTGCTGTAGGAAAGAGGCTTTAAGGGCCACCCTGGGGTCAGAGCTCTGGGTGGTTTATTTTTAGGAGCTGGGTGGTGGGGCTTTCATTGTTTTCCCTTGGGCTCTGGTACATTTGCCACCACCCTCCAACCCCAGACCCTGCTTTCTCTTTCTCCTTTCCCTGGCAATATCCAGGCCGTCTCACTTTTTCTCTCCCAGGCTAAATCGAGAGTGTGAAGCTGCTCTTCTTCCCAATTTAGCATTTGAATTAAAGTGAGAACTGAATGTGGCTGGAAAGCTGACTCCCATCTGTGTGTGAGAGAGAGAGAAAAGGAGCACCAGTGAGCGTGGGCACACGCTGGGGCAGCCAGGGCAGGGGCAGCCGATCTGGGCAGCTCCTGTTTAGCGCAGACACTCATCCTCGGGCGTAGGCAACAGCTCAGCTGAGAGACACTGAAGTCTGAAGGTTGCTGTTTTTCCAGGAGGGGAAGATTGCTGCAGGGGCATCATTCTAACATTCCACAAAAATGTGCCAAGTGTTTATCGTGTACCAGGCCCCATGCTGGAGACGCTGGGCAAACAGTGGGGAGCCAGCTGGGCCCATTGTCTACGCCCCGGCCTTCGGGCTGGTGGGTAAACAGACTGGGAAGCAGGCAAGGGGCACACAGGGCAATGCGTGCTGTCAGGGGGAAAGGACAGGTATGTCAGGGGCCTGGAGGGGCATCTGACAACTTGGAGGTGGGGTGGAGGAGTCACTCTGGGCTGAGACTTGAAGCACAGACAGGAGCTGACCAGGTGAAGCAGGTGAACAAGGGTGCTACGGGCAGAAGCAAATGTGCATGCAAAGATTTGAGTGGAGCGGGCGTCGTGGCTCACGCCTGTAATCCCAACACTTTGGGAGGCCGAGGCAGGAGGATCCCTTGAGCTCAGGAGTTTGAGACCAGCCTGGACAACATAGGGCAACCCCTGTCTCTACAAAAAATCATTTTTAAAAACTGGCCAGATGTATGCCATCGACCTCATGCTGAAGTGGGACAACCGTCCAGATGGAAAGCGGGTAATGCAGCTGCAGATCCTGGAGGTGAACTTCAACCCCGACTGCAAGCGAGCCTGCAGGTACCACGCCACCTTCTTCAACGACGTCTTCAGCACCTTGTTTCTGGACCAGCTCAGTGACTGTAATGTCACCTGCCTTGTCTAGGCACTTGCCGTCCCCAAAACCTGAGCTCGGGGCAGGATTCCAACCTCAGTTCTCTGAGCTGCCTCTGCAAAGCCCCCCACGCCCCTCCCCACACCGGCTCTGGGCACAGCCTCAGCCCCAGGCCTCTGTCCTCCTGAGCCATCCTCACACTCTGGGAGCACAGCATCCTCCTCCCACCTGCGGGTCAGAGCAGGACAGTGATGGTGTCCCCAGGGCAGAGCACTGCCCCAGGGCCTGTCCTCACCCCTCACCACCATCCGTGCACTGATGAGTCTCTGGCTTAGCCAAGGGCTTCGTTCCTGGCATGGAGAGTTTGTTCCCAGCTGCTGTGTTTCCAGGGGGTGCTGGGGAAAGGGTTCTGTGGAGCGAGACAAGGTGTCCTCGGGAGCAGGGTTCCACAGGGAAGCGTTTGGGAGCCCTGTGTCACATGGGGCAGGCGGGTTTCTCTTCCAGGGTCTCTGCTCTTATGTATCAGGACAACCCTGGGACGGGTGTGGGGCCCCACACTGTGCCCACAGGGGTCTATGTGACAGGTGCCCAGGAACAGCCTGAGACTACCACCCAGCAAGGTCACCTTATCACCCATCTCCAGCTCACCCAGGACCTTCACCAGCAACCTCCCGCTGAGGTACCGGCAGGAGGCCGCCAGCTTCTGTTACTGTTTCCTTTCCCATTTGTCTTCCCAGTCAGTCCCTGTCTTCCCAGTGGTTGCTCTGTTCGCCAGGCACTCTGCGGGGTCCCGCCCTCCTCTGAGATGGGCCAGGATCTTCCGGTGAGGGGGGCCTGGGGCTGGGGCTGATTGTGGATGGCAGAGCGCCAGGCAGAGCGCCAGGCAGAAAAGGATTCCAAGGAGAACTTCAGGTTAAAGTCAGATGCCACCTACCAGGGTCTATAGTCAAAATGTTTGCTTTTTCTTATTTTTTAATGTATGGGAGAAAAATGTATCATTCCAGTTTTCTTTTCTTTTCTTTTCTTTTTTTTTTTTTTTTGAGACAGAGTCTCACTCTGTCGCCCAGGTTGGAGTGCAGTGGCACAATCTCGGCTCACTGCAACCTCCGCCTTCTGGGTTCAAGCGATTCTCCTGCCTCAGCCTCCTGAGTAGCTGGGATTACAGGCACGCATCACCACACCCAGCTAATTTTTGTATTTTTAGTAGAGATGGGGTTTCACCATGTTGGTCAGGCTGTTCTCGAACTTCTGACCTCGTGATCCGCCCGCCTCGGCCTCCCAAAGTGCTGGGATTACAGGCATGAGCCACCGTGCCCGGCCTAGTTCTTTTCTAATTGTGTTTCTGAAATTTGGAGTCAGCTGCCAGCGCTTTTTGTGTGGCTGCAGTGTGCTTGGGCCAGGCTCACGGGCAGTGGGTGGGCCTAACTCCCTAGGCAGGCAGGAGCTACCTCTAGAGCCTGGCAGCATGGGAGGGCAGGGCTAGGCATGGCGGTGTCTCCTCTTTGAAATTAATAACAATCTTTCTTGTAGCAAAGCTGTACCCGATGAGGCCAATGAGGCTGCCTCCCCTCTCTGTGTTGTCTGGGCCCCTGTTTACAAGCATGCCTTGACCTTCCTTGGGGGAGCTGTGCTCTAGCCCCTGGGGGACCTGTTGCAGGGGCAGGGTGGGCCCCTTGCCTTTGGTGGCTCCTGGAGAGCTGTTGACATGCTGTCCTCCTCACTTGGTTCGTGCTGCAATAAAGGCCATCTTATCTCAAAAAAGAAAAAAAAAAAAGAAAAACTGGTGAGGCGTGGTGGTGTGCGCTTGTGGTTCCAGATACTCGGGAGGCTAAGGTGGGAGGATTGCTTGAGCCCAGGAGGCTGAGGCTGCAGTAAGCCGTGATTGTGCCATTACACTCCAGTGTGGGCAATGAAGCAAGCAAGACCCTGTGTCTCCAGAAAAAAAAAAAAAAGATTTGAGGCCAGGCGCGGGGGCTCATGTCTGTAATCCCAGCACTTTGGGAGGCCGAGGCAGGCAGATCATTTGAAGTCAGGAGTTTGAGACCTGCCTGGCCAACATGGTGAAACCCTGACTCTACTAAAAATACAAAATTAGCCAGGCGTGATGGCATGCACCTGTAGTTCCAGCTACTCAGAAGGCTGAGGCAGGAGAATCTCTTGAACCCAGGAGGTGGAGGTTGCAGTGAGCTAAGACCATGCCATTGCACCTTCCCAGTCTGGGGGTGACAGAGCAGACTCTGTCCCTCCAAAAAAAAAAAAAAAAATGGACTTTGAGCGGAGTCATGGCTTCCTGCAGGGAACTGGTACTGGGTAAGTTGGGCTGCTCCAGATTTTCAATGACCCTCCTTCTCCACGTCCTTTGTCCTTCCTCCACTCCTCCTCTT